GATGCTGCTTGGCCTGCTGTGTTCATCCAGCCTTGCACCTTGTTGTCTCGGATTCTCCAGCATCTGCAGTTCCTACTATCTCTGATTCGATTCTGCCCATATGGCCTCATTTAATGATCCAAAATATCCTACCACATTCCTACAAGTGATTCCTTGTTCAATATTCCAATGCTTACCGTATCCTCTTCTAACCCCTTTCTGCCTCATCTAAATACCCTTTAACCAGCTGCCAATTGTGCCCAACTTTCAGCCAACTCAGTCAAAGCTGTTAGTCATAATTAAAGTCGTACTACTATGTGCCTGTGCCCTCAGCTCATCTACCTTATTCTCAAGGCTCCATGCATTAAAATATATTTCATTTAGTTTGGCATATTCGCTCCTTGCTTCTCCAGTCTATGTTTCCTCTGCCTTCCACACTCACTCACTTGCATTTTGACTTGAATTCACCATCAGCTTCCCACCTCTCTAATCCCACTGCTGATTTAATGCACCCCAACAGCTCTGGAAAAGCCGCCAGTGAGAATGTTGGCCCTGTTCCCGTTCAGACGTAACCATCCAACATGTAGTTTCCCCCTCGTCCAGAAAATGTTCCTGATACCTCAGGAATCTAAAGCGCTCACTCCTGCAGCATCTCTCCAGGCATTCATTCATCTGCTCTATCTTTATATTCACTACAACATGGCACCAGGAGTAATTTGGAGATTACTCCTTTTGAAGGTCTGCTTTTCAATTTGCTATCCAAACTCCCTGAAGTTTGCTTGCAGGACCTTACTTCACTTCCTTCTTGTGTCACTGCTGTCCATGCTAGGACCAATCTGACTGCTTTCCTGAGAATATCTGGCAGCAGTTCCACGACATCCTGAACTTTGACACTCAGGAGACAACGTACATTCTGGAATCACATCTACAGCTACTGAAGTGTCCGTCTATTCTCCTCACTAATGCAGCTACCATTTCTGCTCTTCCACACATTTTTGTACTACATTCAAATGGCAAAGGTAGTTAATACAAAACTAAAACTGACAAGGAGACAAAATCTCTTCCCTTACAGAACTCTATTAGAAAATCAACAGAGATAGAGGAGATGGAACACATCTTAAAATTAACCCAGAAATGTCACT